TTCGAACATGGCATTAAGCCATAGTTGAAGCAACCAAAAGGGTCCAGCCATAAGAATGTTCTTTGGAGCATGGGATTTTAAACCAGAAACTGCTGACCTTAAGCTCTCATAAAGATCGACAAGTAGCAGTTCACTCAGGCAGACTTTCCTATTTTCATGGAAATCCCTGGCTAGGGGAATGAACCTACTCGCCACTTGCAAGGATCTGCTGCAGAACACATATCGTGATAGCCACAAGGTAAGGAAAGCGATATGTTCTACGTCTGAGACATCATCCCCTTCAGTATGATAATGGCTGATGAATTTTGAAAAGCTAGCTAGTTTAACATCGAAGTCAATGATGCTAGAATGTTCTTCGTTATCAGGAATATAAGTTTCCCCCACTGGTGAAAGACCAGTGATGGCAGCTATATCAAAGAAGGTGGGTGTTATCATTCCGCCCGGAAGGTGGAAAGTGTTATAAGTGCTGTCCCAGAAGTATAATGAAGCAAATAGCAATGGGTGACTGTAAGTAAAGCCTGGTTTCGACAGTTTGATTAAATTATAAATTCCTAATTCTTCCCATTGCTGGGATTTTTTGGATTCTACTTTAATGAGCCAGTTTTGATATGCTACATCTGAAGTGGGGCAGGATCGAAATGGTTTGAAATTGCTTTTGATGTAATCTAAAATAAAAGGATCTTTTGGAGGTGAGACTGGAGTTTCAGTTGTTTTTGAATCAGATGATTCGCTTATGTCTTCAGTTCCTGCCTTAGGGGCATCCATCTTGTTGAATAGGGGTTTGAATTTATAGCAAACGGGAAAAAATTTCCTAGTATCTTTCAGAATTTCAAAAACGGTTAAAGGACCCATTAGGGCAAACCTTTTTCCAGCAACAATGGTAGGGATTAATACCTGAGAAGCATACAACATTTCTTTCTCTTTGGAGATCGCTTGAGGATTGAGCACAAATTGATTCTGATAAGTACCCACCTTGCTCTCCATGACAATTTCCGTGTTGTTGTTCTTGTTCTTCCTCTTTGATGATTTCTTCAATTGTGATGATGTTGATGAAGACATTGTTAAGATTGCTGGAAGTTTTAGGGTTTAGTGAAAAAAAGAGGGGGGTTTCAGAATTTTGGAGAAAAAGAAGAAAAGACTAAATTGATGAGTTTTATAGAGAGTGTGGAAGAGTGAGTGTAAACACCCACTAAATAAGACTAGGGGTACGTGGAAGTCGTTGGTTGGATTCAGAGAGAGGTGGCGTAAGATCTAGTGTTGGTAATGAGTGTGATTAATAGTAATCATTATTTTTAAAACCGCACCATGCTGTGGTAACTGGTCCAAGACGGTTAGGTACTCAAAGAGGCGTCTTGATTGACGTGGGTAAAGTCATGCACAATAAATGTCATGATTCTTCAAAAGACCTATCAAAATCTTGTGAATCTATTTAAAATAAGTATTTCTCAAAGGGTTCGAAATACATATTTTAAAGGGGCATTTTGTTGGCTGAAGATTTTGATATTGTGATTCGAAATGAAATGATTGGACTTTGTTTGAATAAAGCAAGTTTTATGGTTTGGAATGAAAGAGACTGTTTTTTCGAATGGAAATATTAAAGTTCAAGGTTTCGAATGATAGTTGTGGAGTGTAAGTCTAAAGAATTTTCGAAATAATGATGAGATTATATTTGTGAAGGTTGTTTTCGAAAATAACCTTTGAAACGAATTCGAAACGAAGGTTCCAAGGCGTTTGAAATTCAAACGTGAGCGGGATATTGGAAATTCAAATACATAAGCGTTGGAGCATTCGAGGATGCGTGGAGGCTAGAGGGAAGTAATGCTCTGCATGCTTCGAACGTGGCAGATTCTGATAGCAAGACCGTTATGGTCGAAATAGTATAAATAGAGGTCTTAGTGTTAGGATTTCGGGGTGTCATATCTGTTGTACAAATTCAGTAAACATTCAAAATACCGCATGGATAGGGAAACGAATGCTCGAAAGATGTACGTATGATAACACCAACATTTACAATTCAATGAAAACTCTTTATATTTTCAAGTTTTGTCTTTCATTTCCATTTCATTTGTACTTCAAACATTTTTACGTTCATGCCTTTACATTAAAGCTTTTACATTCAGAGTCATTTATTTCTTTCTGCATTTAAACGCTTTTCTTATGTTCGAATCTTTTAAACATTCAACAACTTTTACATTCACTCACTTAATCCTGCCATTTACCCAATCTTAAGTCTTTTTACTTTTCTAATGAACATTCCTTATATCATATAGAAATTATCCTTCGAATCATTTAGTGTAGTAATCGAAGTGGATTGGATGTCTTTGAAACACTTTAATTAGAAGTCCTAAATATGAATACCAGTTTTACAATTAGATTTAGCCAAACAACTATGTCCCATAGGATCAATCTAGTCGATCCTGCAAGTTACCAGAGAAATTGAATAACAATAATTAAGTTTATTTGATAGTTTGGAAGACTAGCGGTTGTTTACCAGAAATCACTGTGAACACACCGACAACAATAGCTTGTCGTTGGATGACATAACGAGTAGCTTTGAAAGTCGTTGTTATCGATGGATCTGATGGAAGGTTTAAAGGAGGAAAGTTTGGATCTGGATTTCTTCAGAGGAGATTCATTTAAATCGAGAAAAACTAGATTATGGACAATCATAGGAATCAAAAGTCGTTTTCCACAAACAACGTCAATGTTCTGTGTTGAAATTAGAGTTAATAGCAGAATATGAATTCATGATCTGCTGTGGTAGTTCAGAGCTTCCAATAATATGGAAATGAGCTGACTTACAAAATTAACATTTCAACCCTCAAATTAATATGAGAATAAAAGTAAAGTTTAAATGAAAAAAGATTTTAATACAAATTATGTGACACATTTTCTTCTTTAAATATGAGAAATGCTTAACAATTGAACATGTGTGGTGATGCATGAGACGTTATCTACTTTATATTGTGGGAAGCTCGAAACAATATGTATGTAAAATTCTTAAACAATGCTTTTAATTTGAAAATAAAATTTCACTTTTTAAAATTTTAATATAATACTTTATAACATTTGTTAGCGTGGCTTCATAATGCTACGTTTGTATTAGATGTAATTATTAACATTTGGGTCGAAATCGGGCCAAAATCTTAAAAATATGATGCAAATCGTGATTTAATTATTAAAAATTAATTTCAACTATAAAATTTTGGTTTTTGACAAGTTTGATTTAATCGATTTAACGAAAAAATTAAATAGATTGATTGGTTAATATTATTGAAATAAATCTATAAAAATTACTTATCTTTTATAAAATTCACAAATATTTATCGTTTAATTTTTTTAATAAAAATTATTAAAATTTTAGAATAACTTAAAGAATTATTTTTTTATTATTGAAAAAACGCTACTATCACATTATAAAATTTTAAATATTATTTAATATTAATTTATTTATTATCATACTTTAAACAATAAAATAAATAATATTTAAAATTTTATATTGTAGATCTTATATTTTTATGAATATACAATGTCACTATTAAATTAAATTTTTTTTTATAATAATAGTATGAGTCTATTTTTATAATGCTTCGATTTTAAACTAATAAAAAAATATTTAAAATAAATATTTATTAAATTCGATTGGATTCAATTTTCAATAGATCTAAAATAATTATTTGAATTCATTAGTTTCAAACCTGAATTAAGTAGTTATCCAATTACACGGATAATTACTTCTTCATCTTGAACCATACAATACAATAACATGATGAGAGAATTTCAAATCCACAATCCACTATTGTAGAATGACATGACACTCATTTTCACTTGTCTTGAAAAAAAAATTAAAAAATTTAAATATAATCATAATCATGGAACTATATATAAGAAAATTTCTCATGAATAAAGTCAATAATCCTTTCCCTATAATCAAAAGCCGTGTTGATCTTTTGTAGCCCGTACCAACCTACACCTAAGCAGACAATTTGCTATTCCCTACGTTGTTTTTTAATGGTTACTTTTAGAAAAAAATTATATTTCATTTTAATTGTCATTTATAAAGTTCAATGTAATAATAATTATAATTTTTTTAAAATTATTTTCAATTATTTATTATGAAAAAAGAAAATTTTTATTAAAATAATTAAAAATCAAGAATATTATAAGTAAAAGAAAAATTATAAATAAAAAATAATAACCATTATAAATTTATTTAATCTTCATAAAAAACAACAACAATAGAATACTAACTTGTAAATTGGTTAACTTATTAATTCCATTCCATAGAATCTTTCAACACATATAAGACATTTTACACCAAAACAGAAAAAATAGATCAGTAAATGGTCCCACCTCCACCGTCTGATTCCCAAATAGGAAACCATGAGAATAATCCGTATTGGCAACCCTCCAAACGAGGCCCGTTCTCACATGACTTTTCTACTCAATGACTGAACCGGTTTTGAAATTCGTGATTCGAACCGGAATATATTTAAAACAAAGAAGGGAGAATAAACCTTATCACTCTTTCCAACCACCAAATTCTTCTCTCTGAGGGTCTAATATTAATTAACTAATTAATTGATTAGTTAATAGATAATTAATTATACCCTCTTTTATTTACATTTACCGCGCTATTCTCTTTGTCACTCTGAAACGTTATTTTTGATCCAACAAACGAAGAAAACAATATACACACTCGCAAGAATCAAACCACGAGAATTGCGTTTTTCATATTTTTTTTCCCAACTTTTTTCCAATTTTTAGTAGCATCTTCAGTTTACTTGCAAACGCTAAAAACAACTAAATTTCTAGCTCAAGGGAATCGAATTTCGTTGTTAATCTAACTGTTACGGTATTTGGCATCTTCGTAACCGTCCAATCAAGTAAAGGTTTGTTAGGTGGATGCTCCGCTGTGAGGGTTTCTTCCGTGTGCGGTGGTGATGTAGCGGTTTGGGTTTTCTTTTTGGTTAGGATGGGTTTGTGAAGGTGTGGGATAAATGCGTGTCACCGGGGATTTAGGGTTTTCGAACCTAATCCTTGTGGTGGTTTGTGTGGTGTTGCCGGTGATTGGTTTTGTAATTCGCCGGAAATGTCAGGTTGCGGTGGCTAGGAATGAGGAGATCAAGAGGCTTTTGATTTTGGCTGCTGAGGAAACTGAGAGGGTTGAGAGAGAGGCGTTATATGTGTCTGCTCCGGTGGTTTTTGCTACTGCTAACAATTATCAATGTGCTCTTTGCTATTTTCCTGCCACTGCGCGGTGTGCTAAGTGCAAATCCGTTCGCTACTGGTGCGTTGCGTTCTAGTTGTTTGAATTTGTTAAACTGTGCTGAACCATTGGACTTTTTTTGGTGGCATGTATTCGGTTTTTGGTTTTGTTTCCCTTATGATTTTGTGCAGTATTTTCCTTGTTTATTGTTGGGAGTATTAAATTTGATGTTGTTAATTTGCGTGTATCTCTTATGCTTCCTAAACTACATTATATTGGATTTGGGTTTGCTTATTATAGCCACATTCATAATCTTTGGGTTGTTTTGCAAACCGAGTTTTGTATATAAATTAAAGTACAGATGGGCATGTTGGCTGTTGCTATTCTTATGACTAATGCTGGTAACCTAGTTGAAATAAATGTTATGCTTCTAAGTTTATAGGTGAGTGGAATTGTGGTTGATTGAAGATGTTTTTGATTTGGAAGAGAGGAAAAAATGTTTCTTATAGTTTTGCTTAAGTTTTTGAGGCGAGTTTTTGTGACCTCTTTTACAAACTAACTATGCTGATTGATTGAGAGGACTGTGACTGATCTGTAATAATGGGTTTTGAATGCATTATCTTTCCCTAACATATGTCTTTAGAGCACTTTCGTAAAATAATACGTCTCTCATTTGACCGGTTTCATGTTTTTCAGTTCTACTCATTGTCAAACAGTTCATTGGCGTCAAGGTCATAAATTGGAATGCCATCCTCCCAGCAAAACACATCATAGTGATGGCGAAATAAGTGGTATTGACAAGAGGAAAGTGGAGCAAGATTACTCTAGTATCCATGAGAAATCTGAAAACAGAGGTACAGAGTGTAAAATAGCATCTGAAGGTACCAGATTTTCTTCCAAGGCTTCATTTGGAAAGGACAATAATATTAGCGTTGGGTTCCTTGCAGAGGAAAATTTAGCAGATACTAATTCTGAATTATCTAGTAACTCATTTTCTGGATTTTCGGCTTCCCCAAGTTCTAGTGATTCATCTGATGATTCATCTGTCTGTGAGAGTATCGTCTCAAATGAGCATGACCAATCAGAGGGACATACTTCTTTTGTTCCCACCCTTGTCATAACTGATAAAACCACAAGCAATAGCAATGTGGATGCAGCAATCTCTTCTTCTCCAAAGTTTGCTAGTTTGCTTGATTCAGTTGGTGGTTCTTCTACAGTTCATAAATTAAATCATATCACATCTGGTTCTAGTAAAGGAGAGAGGAAACTTGCATCTAATGGTGCTTCAGGCTCAAGCGTGTTGAAGGGTGTGAAAATTGAGCCTTCTGGATTCTGGGATAAAGCTCTTGATTCAGGAGGGATTAAAGATAACACTAATAATAAAACTTATCCATCCCATTCTGATGAATCCACTTGTGGCAAGGCTGATTCTGGATTGTCATTCCGCTTTCAATTCGGCACCATGTCTCCTTTGCATGTACGTGATACTGAGGCTAAGGAATCTTTGCCTAATGACACTCTTCCAAACTCTGTTGGGAAGAATATGCCACATCCAGGATCAGCGTCCTCTGAGAACAACAACATGAATTCTTTAAAGGGGAGGAACCTCTCATTCACCAATGGAGATCCCAATTTTATAAGCAAAACTCGCAGTGGTTCTGGATCTTATCAATTGGAATCTAAAGATAGCTCTGAGCCACCTCTGCATTCCTTTTCCTCCCAATCCTCCAGTCTTGGCAAAGATCCAGGTTCTGCAGATACTAGGAGCATCCTTAACTTGCAACCATCTGGCTCTGTGGCATCAAATCATGTCGTGGACAACCATGGCTTCTCCTCTAAGTCCGTCATTGTTTTATGCAAGACAGATGAGCTTGCTGATTCTGAATTAGCTTCTACAAATGAAGGACATTCACAGCCAAGTACAAAACATAGAAATAATGACATTAAATATGGGACTGCCACTTCTTCTCATATTAGCTATTCTGCAAATTCTAAGAGTGGCTTAAAAACATCTGTTTTGAAAGTCGTTGATCAGATTAGAGGATCAAATTTGTCAAAGCACACTCCTTTAGCCCTTGGGAGTGACATTGCTGGAAAATACAATGATAAGGTTCTTCCAAAACAAATCTTAGTGCATTCTTTTTCTTCTTCTGGCCTTTGGGGACTGTTACCATACACTTACAACTGCTGCAGGGTCTTTTTCCATATGAATCATTTGTCAAGCTTTATAACCACAACAAGGTGGAGTTGCGCCCGTTCGGTCTCATAAATTGTGGAAACAGGTATTTTTAAATTAATGATAAACATTTTAGGGGGATATTGAAGCAGACTTGTTTATGGATTTATAGATTTAGAATATAATAAGTTGTATAAAATAATCTCTGCTTTCCAATAAGGATGATTTATTTTTTGCCATGTTATTAAATGATTTATGAAAATGATTAAGTTTTTGAAATTTTTCTTATTTTTGGGCTTTTCTAACTTTGTAACTTTTTTTTGCAGTTGTTATGCTAATGCTGTATTTCAGTGCCTAGCTTTTACTCCACCCTTAACTGCTTATTTTCTTCAAGGACTACATTCTAAATCATGTATGTGTGAATGGTAGTTTCCATCACGGAATCATTACATGCCCTATATCTTGAATACTATCTGTTGTAACTTGTAACAGTTTCCCTTGGGTAAATATCTCCTTTGTAAATTTCAGGTGCAAATAAAAAATGGTGCTTCACTTGTGAATTTGAAAGTTTGATTTTGAAGTCAAAGGACACAAAATCCCCACTATCTCCAATGAGTATACTTTCTCAATTACAGCGTATTGGGAGTCAGCTTGGCAATGGCCAAGAAGAAGACGCACATGAATTTATAAGGTGTTTTTTTACACTTTCTTAGCTGCCAAAATCAAATTATTGTTTATAATTCATATAAGCTAATTGTGTGACAATCTTGGCAGACATGCTATTGACACAATGCAATCTGTTTGCCTTATGGAAGCTGGGGTTAATGCACCGGGTTCATTGGAAGAGGACACTACTTTAATGGGTCAAACATTTGGAGGATACCTTCGTTCAAAGGTATTTTTATATTTCTATCTGGTAAATTAATAGACAAACTATCTGCTATGATTTTCTACATGCCCCGGTCACTGGGACATACATTGTCGGCTTGTTTTTGAAATAGATAATTCAATTATCATTTTAGTTGATGCATTATAACACCCATTGATTAGAGATAACAAGGACAGTGAACATTCAGCTCATATTTGGCAGATAAAATGCATGAAATGTGGTGGAAAGTCCGAGCGTCGGGAAAGAATGATGGATCTAACTGTTGAGATAGAAGGGGAGATATCAACACTTGCAGAGGCCCTTCGACGTTTTACAAGCACTGAGACTTTGGATGGAGAAAATAAGTACCACTGTGTCAGGTTGGTTGATGTTTGGGAGGCCTCTTTATAGCTTTCAATCTTAACATATGATAGGAACTCAGATTTCTAAAGAAAATATGGAAACTAGTTATTTCCAATGTAGGTTTATGTGATCTCTCAAACAGAAACTAACCAAGACCAGAAAATGAAAAAAAGTCCTCCACTCTGAATATGCCAGCTTGTTTATACCTTCCCTGATCTAACCGATTCTTCTATCTGTTTGTGATTTGTTATTAATGCTCCCCTCAGTCTCTTTTTCCTTCTTTCACACACTTGCATGCAGCCCATCATTCCATCTAAAATTTACCCATGCTAAAGGTGTATTATGGCGTCTTACTATAGGATTTCACACATTTGAGGAAATGTTCATGACTAGGGTTCCTTAATGGTCACACTCAAGGTTTGATTTCACCACTTTGAATTGAGTATGTAAAATTAGTAGTCCTCCATTCTATTAATAATTACATCAACTGTACAAAGGATGATGACATTGCTGAACTGGCTCTTAAACTGCAGAGAGAACTGGAATGAGTTGCGCTTGTTGAGCCTGTACAAATCCTTTATTTTAAGATACATGTCATCACGAGGGAACTATTTTTAGTGCGCAGTTAAGTTAAATGGGAAGCTGAAACATAATGGCTATGTTTTGATTAACTTTTTCCTCTATCCAAGTCATTGTTTAATGCATTGTTCTCGTATTTTATTTTATCTTGATTGTTCATACTTCACAGAAGCATGACATGATGCTACTATAACAAGTTTACACCCACAAAAAGTGGAACTGTCTTTCTCCCCTTGATGATTGACTCACAGAACAATATGTCAAACCAATTATGCAAAGTCATCTTATTGTGCCTTCCAAGTTGTGACCCCGACTTTTAACAAAATTTAGGGTTCTAACAACAGCCAAAAGAAATACATGTTATTATTTCTGCTCTCTATGGTGTGTGATTATTTGTCTCTGGCTTGTTATTTGAATTTTGGAGCTTTAATATTTTAGAATATTATTTCGAGTACCAGGACTCAAATTATAATCCATATTATTAATCAATCATTTCCTTTTTAAGATGTAAATCTTATGAGAAGGCCAAGAAGAAGCTGACAATCTCAGAGGCACCCAATATTCTTACAGTTGCATTAAAGAGATTTCAGGTATTTTGCAAGTTAAATTTAGAGATATAATGTTATTGTCTACATTTTCTTCAGCCTGTATATGCAGAGTTTACCTTATTTATTACATTTGTGTTACAGTCTGGAAAATTCGGGAAGCTCAACAAGCCTATTCAATTTCCTGAAATACTTGATCTTGCGCCTTTCACGAGTGGGTCTAGTGATAAGACACCCATATACAGATTATATGGTGTGGTTGTTCATTTGGATATTATGAATGCTTCTTTTTCAGGGCACTATGTCTGCTACTTGAAGAATATTCAAAACAAGTGGTTCAAGGTTGACGACAGTGTGGTAAGTCCCTCTGTTTCTTTTTGCTCGCATATCTTTGAGAATCTTTCTTATGGTTCCGAAATGTACTTCTCCATTTAAGTTTTTTGTACTTAGTAGCACATGTAAACAATCTTTGTAAGTTCATAAGCTAAATGCATAGCCAAAATTTATCGTCAGCGGATTACAAATATGATATAAATTGAAGTACATATACTGTTTTAGGTGCGGGTCCTTCCTGATAGTTTCACTTTTGAAAGAATTCCGTGTGGTGTGTCTTAGTGACATTAATGGTGTCATTGGTTTAAGCATTTCCTGTATGTATATGTCTTGCAGGTGACAGCTGTTGAAGTGGAGAGAGTCTTGACAAAAGGAGCATATATGCTTTTTTATGCAAGGTAAACTCGGCTATTTTGTGTGTATGTGAGGGTGAAGATTAATATTTGATAAACAGTACCAGAGATCATGTGAGTTATGGCTAATTTCAATTTAACCGGCTAATGGCAAATAACAAATTGGACGGCCTAATAAGAGATAACAATCGGACCAAAAACATAGTAGGTTCGTGGGCTTACTGGTTGAACCTAAGGCTGTTCATTGTTCAGTTTAAAGAGATAACTGAACCGAACTGAACCATAACAAGATTCTTTAAAACTGAACTGAACTGTTATAATTTTTTATAAAACTGAACTGAACCAAACAAACGGTTTGATGAACCGTTTGTTAATTTTGAACCAAACTGAACTGTTAACTTATAAGTAATTTTTTTAAAACTGTACTGTTTTATATGTAAAATGTTATATTTTTTTTTAAACTTTTTTTTAATATAAAAAACTTATTTGACAATACAGTAGAGAAATATTATATTTTCAAATTAATTATAGAATTGAATTTTCAAACTAAATATAGAATTAAATTTATATTAAAACTAATTATTTTTCACGATTCATTATATTTTTAAACTAATTTTATTTTCGATGGGAGTTTTTAAACTAATTATAAAATTAGATTTATATTAAGACTAATTATATTTTCAAGATCCATTATATTTTCAAACTAGTTATAGAATTTAATTTATATTAAAATTGATTATAAAACAATACAGTTGAGAAATATTATAAATTTTAATTAGCATTTTCATTTATAAATAACATACTTTTTTTTAAATAGTAAATTGTTCATTTCAATAAAATTGTATAGCCAATATAAATTTTCAAACTGCAAACAACCAGGCTTGATCAACCGGAAGTAAACACATTAACTGCATATATATTCTATATGGTTTGGTTTTAAACGGTTCGGTTTGGTTATTTACAGTTCAGTTTCAGTTCGATAACTGTAGTTAAATTTATGGTTCAGTTTGTGAACTGTTATAACAAGTTCAATTATTTTTGGTTCGGTACAGTTCATTTTAGCAGTTCGGTACAGTTTGTGGTTTTTTTGAACACCCCTAGTTGAACCATCTGTTTTTGAAAGATTCAGGGTGGCTTTAATCAAGGTTCCTGTTAACTATATTATCATTTGCCAGCTTCTCTGACAAGTTGAATTATCTTGCAGGTGCTCTCCAAGGGCCCCTAAATTAATTAGGAACATGATACTATCCCCAGATTCAAAAAGTAAGGTCAATGGAAAGTCTCCTACAACGAAAGCAAGATACGTGTCGTCAAATTCTGGTGCAGCTGAACCCATCAGTAGTTCAGTTTCTTCAAACAGCTCACCCACCATGGAGTCTTTCTATTCAAGGTTTCACCACCTGAAAAGGGTTTTAGAAGAAGACTCATCAAGTGATAGTTCATCCCTTTTCAGTAGTAATTCCGATGAACTTTCTTGCAGTACTGATAGTACCCGTGATTCAACTAGCATGGACGACTTCTCCGACTATATTTTTGGTGATTCAGGGCATGGATGGAGTAGCCCGTGGAGGACTTCTGATTCTGACTCGTCCTCATCCTCTCCCTTGAATTACAGACATTCACCTCTATCAGACATGGACAAGTATGATTCAGTGTCTCCAGATACAACTAGTTTGCGAATTCCCACAGGTTCAAGTGTGAGTTCTGATACAATTTTACAGAATAAAAAGTTAGATAGTAGTAGCATTAGCAGCAATAGTAGTAGTAGGGATGCTGACTCGTCTCTGAAAGTAGGATTTAACCATTCTAATGATAAGAACTCTGGTGTATCGAGTAGAAAGTCGAGGAAAAGAACGGATTGAAAATTTTATCAATAGGAAGCTCTGGTTCAAATAATGAGGTATGATACTGCTAAGCGTAATAATAATGCATTCTTGGAGGTGGCGTTCTATTAACAACCTAATTAGCCACACCATTTGCCAATAACTTTATTATATGTAGACTTGTAGATATACATTGTAGATCACCGTAACAATTTTTTAATTATAATAAAAGAAGCTCTTACGAATTACACCATTTAATGATTTGTTTTTAAACACCCATATTTGCATTAAGAATTAAGATGCAGTTTGGAGTATTTATGCCGGGGCCTGGTCCACTCAATGTGCTCTTATGATCAACAGCGCGGTTATTCATCTGTTTATTGGAGCATCGCTAGAAATAGCGCTAAATTTAAAGACAAGTTCATAGTACTTGTTTTCTCTTCAATTAATTACATATTAGCTGTATGTTATTTGTCTGGTAACAATGTAGCTTCGCGTATTAGTATACAAGATTTTGTTATCTTTGAAAATTTTCAACGTTAGAATTTTTCCTCCCAAAGTCTTTAAATAATCCCGAAATCTCTGTTTGTGGGGTATCTTTAGGCTTTTTTGAGAGTTTAGAGAGGAAGACTTTGAAAAATAGGAAAGAATGGGTAAAAACAATAGAAAGATTTTGGTTGGGTAAATTTTGGAGAGTTTATTTTTTTTTATAATATCAAAATCAGTTTAATTTGAGGAACTCAAAATTTGTACGGAAAGAGGATTTTGGAGGACGTATATAAATTTTCTAAATATCTTTTTTATATTATAGTATTTTGAAATTTAAAAATATAGTAAAAATAAACACTATTTTATGATTTTATATAATTTTTTTTTAAATGTTAAATATTTTTCTATATTTTTTTAAAAAATTCGTTTTCAGAAGCTTTCTTTTTCCGTCCAAACTCGTAAACAAAGCTTTAATGATTATAATAGTTGTTTTATTGAAATTTTTTTACTATCTTTGAAAAATAGGAAGGAATGGGTAAAAACAATAGAAAGATTTTGGTTAGGTGAATTTTGGAGAGTTTTTTTTTTTATAATACCAAAACCCGTTTAATTTGAGGAACTCAAAATTTGTACGGAATGAGGATTTTGGAGGACGTATATAAATTTTTTAAATATTTTTTTTTTATAATATAGTATTTTGAAATTTAAAAATATAGTAATAATAAACACTATTTTATGATTTTATATAATTTTTTTTTAAATGTTAAATATTTTTCTATATTTTTTAAAAAAATTCGTTTTCAGAAGCTTTCTTCTTCCGTCCAAACTCGTAAACAAAGCTTTAATGACTATAATAGTTGTTTTATTGAAATTTTTTTACTGTCTCCAACTTTCTTATTGTCGAACTCTAAGATTCAATAAAAGCTCTATAATCCCCAATGAGAAGAGTTGGTAAAATCTTGGTTGAAAATTGACGGTTGTAGTTATCTATGCCTTCAAACCTCTATTTAAAGTGTTTTGAGAAATTCACATTAGATGGATCAATTATGTAAATTGTTAGTGCACAAGGTTATAGATGAAAATGAAGATGGAAGATGAAGATAGAAGATGAGAGAAAAATAAATATGTAACTAACTTTCTCTTTCAAACTTAAAATAGTTACAAAGTAAATTCTATTATAAACTAAAACTTGAGTTCAATATTTATACCACCAGAAGCAACTAAATGAAGCTCAAATTAAGTTGAAATGTAAATGTAGAAATTAAATATGTTTAATTTAAATTATACTCCAACACTATCCTTTAATTCATATTCAAGACTAAAAATCAACAACATCAATTTCATCCCTCAAGTAGATAAAGTGTTCAGTCTTGATAACTTTAGTTCACAACATCTGCAAGTTATTTTTGAGTACTACAATGGACAACTTCTAGCACTCTATTCTAAATTTAATTGTGCAGAAAATAGAACTTTGTCTCTATATGCTTGCTTATATCATACAACATTGAGTTCTTTTTAAGGTTTATGGAAGATTTGTTGTCTATCATCAGCTTCACATGCTTGCTCACCTTGATCTTCATATCTTGTAATAAGTTCATAATCCAAACAACTTGACACACAAATAAAGCACTTGCAATGTACTCAAATTCACAGGTTGACAAGACAATCACATGTTACTTCTTGTAGTACCAAGAAATGAGACTTCTTAGATACTTGAAAAAATATTCAGAAGTACTGTCAACTCTGTCTCCACACCAGTTAAAGTCTGAATATCATATCAACCCTGAGTCATATTTAGCACCAGAAGGAAATAAAACTCCATATCTCAAAGTCTCTTAATATACCTCAGTATCTTGACAGCAGTTTGGTAATGTGACCACTTTGATTTGTTCATAAACCTACTTACCATTCCAACTGCATAACAAATGTTAGGTATGGTGTTATAGAGATATCTCAATGAGCCAATCAAGTATTTAAAAGTTGTTGCATCTACATTATCACTCTCAACATCAAAATTCAGCTTGTGATTTGTTTCAGTAGGTGTGATTGCAGACTTGTAATTTGTTAATTCAAATCTCTTTAGAAGTTCAAGTTCATACTTCACATGATGCAAATTTATACCCTTCTCAGAGTACATAATCTCTATCCATAGAAAATATACCATGTTTCCTAGATCAGTCATCTCAAACTCATTCATTAACACCTTCTTGAACTTGACTATCTCATCTAAACAAATCCTTATTAGCAATATATCATCAATATAGATACACACCAGAATCATATTGCTTTCAGAGGTATGATGAACATAAACCTCATACTTCCCATTGCAAAGTAGGTGTTCTGCCATCGTAGTACGACGACGGTGGAGCTTGTTTGAGTTTTCCATGTCGGTTTAAAAATCTGCTCGTTAAAAGAATGGAGACTTGCCTCTTTGTTTAATTTGAAGTGCCATGCTTGTACCTGGGCATACACATGTGGTTGGGCAAACTGTGTTTGTTGTTTCGACGAGACACGCCCACTGTATCAGTGTCTTAACTGTAATATTTCCTTAGTTTTTCGGTGTTCCAAGGTTGAGCAAGTTGTTCCCCGTGTAAGTTTTCGAGGTAGTATGTTCCATTTTCGTTTTTGCTCGGACACGATAACATCTCTTGGATGACAAACTTAATTCGCCTCTCTTTTTTGTGTGATGTCTGCTCGAAAGTTGTGTTCGGGAGGAGCGTATGCCTGCTAGGCTGGAGTGTTCGCGGGGAACACATGTTTGCTCGACAGTTGTGTTCACGAAGAACATGTGCTTGCTGAGCAGTTGTGTTCGCGGGGAACATGTGCCTGCTCGACAACTGTGTTCGCAGGGAACATGTGCGTGCTCGACAATTGTGTTTGCGGAGAACATGTGCCTGCTCGGAAGTTGTATTCGCGGGGAACATGTGCCTGCTAAGCGGTTGTGTTCACGGGGAACATGGTTTGTTTATGTGCTCCTCTCGTCGGGGAGGCTGGTGAGGTCATTTCTGCTGTGATGCTGATCATAATTTACGGTCAATTTCTCATCATACTGGATGTACATCTGAGCTTTGAGGAGGAAGGCGTCTAATGTGGCCGGTGTTTCTATGCCAACTACTTTGGCTAAATTATTGCGGGAGCGTAACCCTCGCTCGAGCAAGTACATTTTCATATTGTCAGTCGTGGAGACATGAACGACTTCTCTATTGAACCTCTCGATGTATGCTCCGAAGATTCTTTTTTTCCTTGTATGATCGCTTCTAGCGAGACCTGTCTTCGGATGATGCAGACAGACAGTGAAGTGCCTTGAGAACATCTTCCCCAACTGCTTCCATGAGCTGATGGATTCATTGAGGAGGTTTTTGTACCAAGACATTGCTCATTTTCTCAGAGTTGTTGGGAACAACCTACATTTGATCGCGCCCTTCACGCCTCGGTAATCAAGTTGGGCGTCGATGTCTTCTATGTCGTCATTTCGGTCAGCCATACTGTCGTAGGATCCCAACGGGGGCGGCTTCTCAAGCCCGATCGGGAGTCACGTCTTCATAATTTCTTTTGATAACAGACCGCGGGGCTCGTTGTCATTAGTCTCTTCTGGCGATGATGTCGGGGAGTGATGGCTTTTTCCTCGTCGGGCGTCATTATCTCGATGAAGGGAGGGGTTCCGTCCTCGTCGCCTCAGTTTGGGTGATAGTGACCTGCTGCAGTCGTCTTTGTAGGTGCTCTTCGTCTTCTTGAAAAGTGGTGAGTCTTTATCCTTCTCGAGAGATGCTCGATCACGTTTTTTGCAGAAAGAAACGTCGAGCATTTTCTTTCTTGGAGGACGTCCATCTCGCAGAGGCGGTATGCTGAAGGAGTTATGTCATCGATGTCTCTGAAGGTGAGACCTTGACTGTTTCCGCTTCAGAGCCCTCATCCTTTTGCTTTGCTGGAGGATGAGGATTCGATCAAAACAAGTAGGTATGCCCGTAACTAGCCGTTGGATCCGAGGAGGAGGCGAGTTACAGGTAGATGGCCGTTCCTGACGAGTCCTGGTTGTTAGTTTGACTCATGTCGGACTGACGGGAGACAACTGCTGATTGGGTCAGACGCGTGTGTCGGACATAGCTGGTCGTATATTCAGGGGCGTGGTCGACCAAAATGTTGGACCACTGTTATTGAACCGTGCCAAAGATAAAAACGGATTGAGCCAATTCTAGCCATTAGACCCGTCCAAAATATATGTCACAAAAGAATCAAAGTTTTGTCTACTATCAAATTAATAGGATTTACAATTAACACAGCCAAAAAGTCTAGAAAAATAGTGCGCATTCGAATAGATTTCACTTCCTTCTATTGATTTTTTTCCTCCGTGTAAGTTAGTATCTCTAGTGTTTCAAATGCAAATGACTAATATACAAGAGTAAGCACCCTGAAGGGATTATATTTTTGCTCAGGGAGGAAAAGAAAGTAATTATTAAACAGTGCAATTCAAAAGCTATTACATTACATTAATTAATAATTATAATAATAAATTCTTTCGACATCATTGATGAATTTGAATGCAAAGTTGA